ATCTTCACCACACCTCCGAAAGAGAGGCAGGTGGAAATTTTTCTCCAGATAAAGTTCATCCATGTTCTCCTTCACAATTCCCAAACTTGTTAGGAATTGGCAACACACTATCACTTGTGAAAGGAACAGGTGGGATCGTAACTCCAGGATAATAACAGCGACTAGCACTTAGTATACTGTATGTGCTCATCGCTCTGCGGGGATTGTAGGGCATTATCACATTTCATTTAATTCTCATAACCCCAGTGCTATCCTCCGTTACAGGTGAGAATACAGATTCACAGGGGTTAAGTAATTTGTCCAAAGTCACATAACGGGAGAGGGCCAAGCCAGGACACAAAACCATGTTGTCTGACTTCACAGTCTAAGGTCTGCCACTGAGTAAGCCACCATAAGCTGGGATATACACATCATGACTAGTGAGAAAGAGACAGAGAGCAGCGGGTGTGAGAAGAGAGAAAACAGAGGCAAAGACTAACCAGATGGAAAGAACCCTATGTGGAGAGTCCTGGATTAAAGCTCGGGAGGGCTGGGACCCTTTCTAGGGATGCACCAGTGTGACCCAGGGTTGGCAGGGGAGTCAATTCTTCTCCCCAGTCTAGTAGAAGAACACATTTGCTACAGTACAGAAGTGTGTGAAACATAAAAATGTTCAAATGAAAATAAAACTCCGGAACGCCATGCAGAAGTCAATAAAATCAAAGAGGAAATTAATAATTAAAAAAATGAACGAAAAAATTGGGAATGTGTTATAGATGCCATAGTCATAGAAGGGCTATGGGAGGGCACATGGGTGGCTCAGTCGATTTGAGCCTCTGCCTCCGGCTCAGGGGTTCTGGGATCGAGCCATGCATCAGGCTCCCTGCTCTGTGGGGAGTCGGCTTCTCCCTCTATCCCTTCCCCCTGCTTGCGTGCTCTCTCTTTCTCTCTTTCTCTCTCTCTTTCATGCTCTCTCTCAAATAAACAAAATCTTAAAAAAAAGAGAGAGAGAGAGAGAGAGAGAAAATGCTATTGTAGAATTTAAACTACACATAAATTAATGATGAATATTAATGAATCCTGAAGGCCTATGAAAGGCGAATAAGGCTGTCAGGGGCTGTCCTTTTCCATTCCCTGATCACATCACTGACACCTAACGTTGTGAAAAATGCTTTTAGGGTTTTATTGTCACCATCAGTGGTGTCTATTGCAAAGACACCTGTGAAACCCAAAACTCCAACCAAGGTCAAAATGATCCAATTTAATGTAATTAAATATGTGTGTGTGTGTGTGTGTGTGTGTGTACGTATCTATATATATATCTAAAAATCTCTTAATTTCAACATTGTGAGATCTGGAGGAGAGGCATCTGGCTATGCTGAGAAACAGATAAATGGATATTGCATTAAGCCACTAAGTTTGTGGTCATTTGTCACAAAGCAATAGAAAACCAATGTGTGCCTGAGGTGATTTAGACAACCAAAAAAAAAAAAAAAAAGACAATTGTTAACTCTGGGGACGGAAGCACAGGTCTGTGCAAGGATGGAAAAGGGAAAAGTAACCATCGAGGAGGTAGGTCTGAACTATGTCTACATATCTTCTCACTCTCACAGTGTCTATGTCCCCATCCAACGAAGCTCGGCCAACCTCAGTGACTCACTCATAACCGACAAAATGCTGCAGAAGCAATGCTGAGTAACTTCCTACGTGAGGTCAGTTTCTGTGGAGCTCTCTAGAACAGTTGCTCTCAAACCCATTGTACTAGAGAGTCTGGCATTAGGTTTTCAGGCAAAGCACAGCTTTTCCATTTTCCATTTGCTGATCACAGATTTTCCATTTCCTATTATCCCTTGTCCATATATCATTCTTAGGGACTTCAAAGCATTGCTGTAGTGAAGCTGAATTTGGCCATTCCTGCATTCTCCAGCCGTAGCACCACCAAACTACACATTAACCTTTGACATGAACTAGCCAAAATAACATCATCAATACCAATCCATGCAATCCAGAAAGGTAGGATATTTAAATATTTAAAGATAGGGAAGACTGTCAATTACTGGTTAGAAATCTATCCCTTATTCTATTTTATGCTCTAGAAAGTTCTACCAAACTCATTTGCCGTAAAACTCTAACCATTAAGTGTCCACATTTCTAGCCCAACAAACTTCAGAAATAGCATTTGGTCGAGTGGATAAATCCCTTGAAAATATTTCAACAAAACGTCTTCTCATGTGTAAAATCAACTTTCATCTTATTAATTAAATCAACAAAGACTTAACGGAGAAGATACCATGAGGTAAAATGATATGACAGCCTGTCCCTGGGGAGATTATAATAAACATAAGCACCTAATTAAATATAAAGCAGAATACAGTGAGTTCCATAGTAAGAAAGGCACTAGAGGAGAGACTTAGAGGTTCAAGAAAGAGTTCTACGAAAGATAACCTCTCTCAAATCAAAGCTTTTTACTTCCTTTTACCCTTATCTAAATCAACATTCTAGACACCTTGTCTTTACCTGAGATTGTTCCATTCTTCAAATATTAAGTTTTGGGACCTTCTTTCAGACTAAACTCTAGATCCCTGTTGAGGGAAAACCCTTACTGCCCACTCCCCCATGAGTATCCACAGAGGGAAGAAGACTACCGTTCACTCCCTAGGGAAGGCAAGTGGTTCATCACCTTATCCCACCTTTATTTGAGAGGAAGGAAAAAGAAGCAACAATTTATCAGAAGCTCTGAATTTAGTGGTTGTTGGATCCTGTTTGGCCATGAATAAGCTGTCCCTCACTCCCTATGTTTTATTCTCAGGAACTAAGAACACAGGGGAAGATGGATGAGTTATTGATCCCTCAAGTATCCAACAATGCCTTTATCTTTCTGTCCAATATGCCTATAAACATCAACCCTGGACGAACCTTGCTGCTCTCTCTCCCCACCTTGAAGAAAATGTGACAGGCATAGGATGTAGGTACATTACTTAACTTGATCTCTGTCTTTGTTAGACACTATTTACTACCTCAGAGTCTTCTCCAGGTCCCCGTTCAATTTTCAACTCTCATTTTCTACAGAAGCTTCTCCAAACCCACGTAAACCCTGACTCACAGCAGATGACCTCGTCTTCAATTTTATTGAGAGAACAGTAGTATCGGGGTCTGGAATAAACGAACTTCCTGCACACACCTACCTCCATAAGCTTTCTGTCTCCCAGTCAACGCTAGTCTCTAAGTGGGCTCTGGCTCCCATGCCCTTCCATGCACTCAGCAGGCATCCTTCCATCCATTCTCCCCTCTCTCTCCTGATGCTTCAACTTTCAAGTCCAACAATTCTCTCCTCTCTTCATTCAGACACACTCAAAACCCATTTTAAAAACGAAGCAAAAGAACAAGAACAACAAAACTCTTTAAGCCTGAACAGTCTTCTAGTTATCTTTGATCTCCTTCTTACAGCCGAGCTTTTCAAAAAAGCAATCCATCCGGGCTTCTTGGCCTTGCCACCTGTTCCACAGTGCAGCCTGATGCAAGCCACCCTCTCCCAGAAGTCATTCCCATTAATGTGACCCAATGACCTCCAAGTTAACAAATTCCACAGACACTTCTCATTTCGTCTCTGACTTGACCTCCCTACAGTACTGGATGTTTAACAACTTCCATCCTAAAACGATCTTCCCCAGGCTTTTCCTAACATCATCACCTCCTAAGACTCCTTCCATACTTCAGAACGCTCTGTCTTCATTGGTCAAACTTTAAATTTTAACATTTTCCCAGGATTCTATTCTTGGCTTTCCTCTCGTCAAACTCAACTCTCCCTGGGGAGGTGGGAAGGGGGGCAGGAATATTTTACACCACAGATTATCCCACGTGCCCGTAAATCCATATGGCTGAATCTGAATGCATTTGCTTCCTCCCCCACCCCTGCCCCCACCAGTGCCTACCTCCATCATGGCACTGCTCTCTATTTGTCCATCTGTCTGTCTTCCCTGCCCTGGCAAACCCGGGAGATGGACACAGCACAATACTGTCAGTAGCGGTAGCTTCCTGAGCAGGGGCTGGGAGTGTGGATGGGGGCAACACCACAGCAAGAGCAATGCATCTCACAGGACCCAGGAATATATAGTTATAAAAACCACCCCGGAGGAGCATCACTGAGCTCTTCTGTGAATATTGTGAGGGATGTAACAATATATGTATTCATCTCTGAATCTCTGTTGCTTAGCCCAAGTGCCTAACATGTGGTGCGTATTCAAGTCATGTTTTTTGCATGAAAGAAGTAGAAGGAGGAGATCTCTGAGATAAACTGGTAGAATTTTAACAGCTACAGATGGAGGAGAACTCATTCAAGCCAGGAGGAATGGGAAAAGTCCAGGCACAGACAGAAATGCCGGACCGGTGGGGTGCAGGAGGACAGAGTCTCAGTAACGCTAGAATGCAGAGGTATGATTTTACAAAGCTTGAGGATGGAGCTGCAGATGAAACCTGACAGGCAAGAGTGAGCCAGTGAGTTCTTTCAAGCAATGTGATTTGTAACTGGAAAAGAATTCACTGGAACAGAGGATACCTCGTAAGTAGCTATCAAACGAATTACTTACATGAGAATAAATGAAGACCTGACCTATAGCAGCTGCCTGAACGACAGAAATAGAGTGAAACGCAGAAGAGAAGGGAAAAATACTATTTTTAATATCAAAGGAAAGAAACAGATTTTCTGAATATTCCAAAACAATGGAATTAGCCGAAGTATTAAATTTAAAAGGAGTGAAAAATTTAAAGCACTAAAATTAGAAGGCCTAAAATGGAAAACATTGTAAATACTTTCAAAAAACACATTTAATACATTGGTTTATTGACCCAAACAATCATGAATAGTACTGGGTACACAACGTACTTTCAACTTTATTGGGTTGGCAGGAACTCCAACACGGGTAAGTTGACACACAGTTGGTAACGGAAGAGGACATTCTGTACATGCTCAGGAAAGTCATTCTATAACTTTTGAGAAGGAAGTCAGCAGAATATAGCCATACCGTGAAACTGTTGTTAGCATTTTTTGTGCTTGCTTCAGCTACACTGGCATCCGAGAGGTCAACTTCATCGAATATCAGAGACTGTTAATGAAAAAAAACACAAACACATTCAATGAAAACCTAACTCAATACTCGTCAATAATTTTATTTATTTATTTATTTATTTATTTATTTATTTATTTATTTATTTATTATTTTTTGCTATCAGGTCATGACTACGAAGCTATGTTAAGGATTAGGAATAGAAAATGAAAAAAAAAAGTCATTAGTGGTTCTTTGCAATTTCTTCTTAGAGTAAAGCCACCAAGTAAAACTAACTCATAAATCCCAAACTGAAAAGGTCTTTAAAGAACCCTGTGGCACAGAGTTTCTATGCAAAATGTTCTGTGTTTTCTAGAAGTATAATTTATGGGGAACTCAGTGTGTCATGCACTCGCTCACACATGTGCGTGTACTGTCTCTCTCTCTCTCTCTCTCTCTCTCTCTCTCTCACACACACACACACACACACACACACACACACACAGAAATGCCTCTTGACAGGTAACAGCCTGAAACAACTTTGCCAGGAAGGCAGAGGCAGCATTATCATTCCCACATTTGCTAAGTGAGGTGAGAACTAGTCCTGGCTTGGATCATGGTGAGTTACTGAACTTTCAGAAACTTATTTTCCTCATCCAAAAATGGGTTTGAATGAGAAGGTGAATGTGCTCTGCAAAAATAAAGTGACCTTTCTTTTGCACTTTCAAAAGTGGTTTTAATCAGAAAGTTTCAATGATAAAAACTCCACAGAAATGGAATCTTTAATAATGTTCAATTTAGAGATTAGGAAATTCTGTGAAATAAACATATCCTTCTGACTTTCAGTCAGCTGGTCATTGTTCATACTCATTCAATGTTCTTGCAGCAAGGCAAGTATAACAGAGCACCTCCAGAATGGCAGAAAAAGGGCCCCTTCCACCTGCACCCCAATGTTGATAGCAGCATTACCCACAAGAGTCAAGCTATGGAAAGAGCCCAGATGTCCATCGACAGTTGAATGGATAAAGATGTGGGATATATATACATGGAATACTACTTAGCCATCAAAAAGAATGAAATCTTGCCGTTTGTAATGACGTGGATGGAACAAGAGGGTATTATGCTAAGTGAAATAAGTCAGAGAAAAACAATTATCACATACATGATTTCACTCCTATGTGGAATTTAAGAAACAAAACAGAGGATCATAGGGGAAGGGGTGAAAAAAGTTGAAAACAGAGAGGGAGACAAACCCTAAGAGACTCTTAACTCTAGGAAACAAACAGAGTTGCTGGAGGGGAGGTGGGTAGTGGATGGGGTAATTGGGTGATGGGCATTAAGGAGGGCACTGGATGGAATGAGCACTGGGTATTATATGCAACTGATGAATCACTAAATTCTACCCCTGAAACTAATAACACAGTATGTGTTAACTGAACTGAATTTAAATTAAAAATTCAAAAAAATAAAAAAAATTCGAAAAAAATTTCAAAAAAATAAAATTACATTTAGAAGAAAGAAAGAAAGAAGAGAAGAAGAAAGAAAGAAGAAGAAAGAAAGAAAGAAAGAAAGAGAAGAAGAAGAAAGAAAGAAGAAAGAAAGGAAAGAAGCCCCTCATCTGATAGCTTCCACCATCATTCCAAGATCCCTAAAGGGTACGCAAGTCCACTTCACTCCAACCAATCTATTAGACTTGTTCCTTGACCAGAAAGAATTTATAATCTAGCACAGGAGAAGAAACAGACACAACTAATTGTAATATAAGATGGCCTATTGAAAATGCAAGAGAAGAAATAGTACAGAATGCTATGGAAGGTCACAGGTCATTTCTCCAGAAGAAAACATTTAAACTCTTGCTCTTGTGAATGGTGGAATAAAGACTATTTGAGGGGATCTTAGAGAAAATAGGGAATTTCATCAAGTGGAGACAGAGGGAAAGTCATCTGTGGGTGGTAAACATGGGGCAGGGCCAAAGGCTATCAAGTGCTCAGTGCCGCCTAGAGATGAATGTGGAAAGGCAGCATGGAGCCAAGTCAGGGACAACCTCGAACATAACGACTTTTAAAATAAGATTACTTTATTTGGTTATTACTTGTACAGCTGTATAGACTAAGAATTACATTTGTTTGCATATTTGATTTTACCTCCCAGGGTATAACTCTACTAATTATATCAGGAACATTATTTTTTTTACTATGGAAATTATCAATTGTTCAACTGACACAGTAGCAAGAAATCTCCATATTTTCAAGGAACACTAAAAGATCAGCTTTAAATGGAAACTCCTCATTACTAAGTTTTCTCTTCCCAAACCACATCATTCTTATTTTCTTGGACTGTCATATAAAAATTATGTAAAGCGGGATCCCTAGGTGGCGCAGCGGTTTGGCGCCTGCCTTTGGCCCAGGGCGCGATCCTGGAGACCCGGGATCGAATCCCACATCGGGCTCCCAGTGCATGGAGCCTGCTTCTCCCTCTGCCTATGTCTCTGCCTCTCTCTCTTTCTCTCTCTGTGACTATCATAAATAAATAAAAAAAAAAAAATTAAAAAAAAAAAAAATAAAATAAAAAAAAAAATAAAAAAAAAAAATTATGTAAAGCCTAGATTTCATTTCACTATGGTTTTTATTCTTAACTGCTAGCATAATTGAGGGATTGTTTTGTATCAGGCACCACATATATTATCTCATTTAAGCTTCCTCAAAACAAGGCATGCAGCTCGCAGCCACTCTACTGGAATGTGCTGGAAGTGGGACACAAACTCTTGTCTAAAACCAGAGAATGGTTTCTTAGCAATTATAGCAATTTTCTCCCTTCTGGTCAAAGGTAGCAACGGAGGCAGGGGGGACCCAAAATTTTGAGCCTATTACCTTTAACAAGGTTACATTTAATGTTTTACTTTCATTTAAGGAAAGAGGAAAGGAAGAAAGTAAACTATACTAGAACCTTCCCATAAGGCTGTCCTCCATAGACACGCCATGAAACTTGACTTCAATAGACTCCCTTGGGATTTGGTCCAAGACTGATCACACTCATACTGAATTCACAGAAGAACAGTAAGGCTCTAGTGAGCACCAAGACAAAAAGTTCATAGAACCAACATTTTTAATCCACCCATAACCTCAGGTGCTTGCAAGTAATATTTTTCCAAATTACCTTGGAGTCCTTTGCGTAATAAAGCGTACGGCCTCGAAGCTTGAAGTAACGCTTTTTCCACCTTTGGAAGGAACTGGTTTGCTTCAACAGTTGTCCCTCTTTAATACTGGTCTGGGGAGAGACAGAAGCACAACAATATGATTAAAATGAAATTCCAAACCAAATAAAGTTCAGAATTAATGACACACTATCACTGATATTTCAAATATTATTTCCCAGGTCCTATAAATTAAAGGAGAGAGTAGTTTCTTCTTTCTGACCAACCAAGGGAGGCCATGTGTAAAGCCCCAAAGAGCAAAGGTAAATCTGACATGGTTCCCTGTCCTCCAAGTAGTCACAGATAATAGAGGAGACACAAGCACCAAACTAATACCCCCCTTCAGTGTGATGTGCACACTGCCTCGTATATAGTAAGTGTTCAATAATGGTGGAAAACGTAGAGGGGCAATTTCATGTAATGATTAAGAGCATGGACGCTAGAGCCAGAAACTTTCTATTTACCTCCCGATGCCAACACTTAGTGACTGGATGATCTTAGGAAAGTTATTGAACTTCTTCACGCCTTTATTATTCATCTGGAAAATGGGACAACACCATGACATACCTTACAGGGTTGTTGTGAGGAATACGTTAAAAACATATAAAGGACTTACTGCATGGCATGTAGTAAGTGCTCATTAAATGTTATCATTAACTATGTATTATTGTAACAAACAGAGTCAAAGCACTATGCGTGGTGGTCTGGCACAGTGGAAGCATCAGCTCCTTCAGAGGGAGTCGAAGAAGTCTTTCCAGAGGAGAGCCCAGGGTATGTCTTAAAGGAGTTGATCAGAATGACAAGGGACGGAGAAGCCTATTTTAAGTGTGTACAAAAGTAGAAAGACTTAAAACAGCATGCATATTTGGGGAATCTTCAAAGAATTTTCGTTTATAAAGACAGAGTAGGGTTGGCGGTGAGGGAGCAACAGGAGACGTGGCTGGAGAAGGCAGGTAGGGGCTCTGTGGCTCTGAGCCAGACCCTGTGCTGAGTCTGACCCCATACTTCATGTATGAAGTTCATTTCATTATCACCAACAAGATACTTAGAACCCTCTGGCATCCTCTAGTACCGCTCCCTCCCTTTGTCCACAATGATGTTTTGCTTTTCAGTGGCCATGCATGTTCCTCTTGGGTCTGGACACCACGCACTCTCTCCTAGGCTGCTCTTCCCTCAGATATACATCTGACCAACTCCTCACCTCCTTCAAGTCTCTGACCTTCTCAGTGAGACCCACAACCCTGACTTCTTATCAATACCACAATGTCATCTCCATATTTTCCCTCATCTTACTTACTCCCTCACACAAAGCCCTTACTATCCTCTTCTAATATATGATGCAATTTGCCGATTGATTATGTTTATTGTGCTACCCCTTTTAGAATAGAATTTACCTGAGTTTATTATATTGAATAAAGGTAAATTCAATGCTTCATTTTAATTGGAAGGAAAGAAGAAAGGAAAGAAGAAGGAAAGTACACTTATAGCAAACTAAACTTACAGTCCTCCTCTGAGAGTGTCCTTGGGAAACATGTCATGGGACTGACTCAATAGCCCCCCATTGGGATGGGGTCCAAGAGGGGGTCACGTTTATACCAAATTCATAAAAGAGCAGTAATGAGGGATCCCTGGGTGGCGCAGCGGTTTGGCGCCTGCCTTTGGCCCAGGGCGCGATCCTGGAGACCCAGGATCGAATCCCATGTCGGGCTCCCGGTGCATGGAGCCTGCTTCTCCCTCTGCCTGTGTCTCTGCCTCTCTCTCTCTCTCTGTATGACTATCGTAAATAAATAAAAAAAAATTAAAAAAAAAAAAAGAGCAGTAATGAGATACTGAGCCTCCAGGACAAAAACAGCTCATAGAACCAAAATTTTAAACCCATCCCCTGGAGTGCCCAGTGATGCATCTCAAGTGCCAAAAATATTATCCGGCACACACAATATGCAGATCTCTATGAATGAATAGCAGGTACTGAAGTAAAACTCATGTCTGACTCCAGAGTTTATTCCCAATCTCGACACTACATTGTTTTTTATTATCCACAAGACATAAACTATTGAGAAAAATGTGTTATCACCAGTAAGATAGCCTAGTTCTATTAGTGTTTACTTTCAATGTCAAGGAGAGATTTTTCTCGATAGCTTGCTCTGAGATTGTCTTCCAGGAATTGTAAACTTTGGTGATAACAAAATATTTTTGAAACTTCGTACCACAGAGCTCGATTTGGAGTCAGACAGACAGACTTCAAGCCGGGCTCCACCACACACCGAAAATAGGAAGCTGGGCAAGTTGCCTTAGCAATCTGTCCCAGTCTCCTCTCCTGAAATACAGGAATAATAATAAGACCAGCTTCACAAGCTTGTTGCATCTAAGTTAATTATACGATAATGGCCGGAGAGCACTTAGCACACTGTCTGGGTTACAGAAAACATTCAATAAATGGCAGAAAGTGTTATTATTATGATATCATTATGCTATTAAGTTCGGGGAGTATTTGCCAGGCACCAAATTCTAAGAGCTTCTTGGAAGAAGAAAGAGAACAAGTGTCTGCAGGCCACGGTAAGGGCAAATAACAGCTGGAGCAGAAGGGGAGAGCGTCAAGAGATGAGGTCAAAGGAGATAAAAGCCAGATGAGGCCACAGTGGGGAACTCACTTTTTATTGTACGTGCAAAAAGCTAGTGAGATGTTTGAAGCCGGAGAGCGAGAATGGGGAAGTGTCCAAGGGGGAGACACTAGGGACTTGAGTGCAAGTTGTCGCATCACTGAGATGGAGAGAAGTGGAGCTATTTGAGATGTGATTTTGGAGGCTGAATCCACTGGGTCTACTGATAGCCATAAAGGGCAAGAGAAATGAGAAGAATCAAGGAAAAGTCTAAGCCTTTGGCTTGGGCAACCAGATGTGAAAGACCGAGAGAAAGGGGTGTAGGAAGAGTGATGCAGTGAGCGGTGTTGCTGCACTGCTGGAGCATCTGGTGGCACCCAGGGGAGAGTCCTAACCCTTACACTCAAACACAAAGTACTGAAATACCATGAAAATATAACTCACGTGAAGAACAAATCAGTTGTTCTAGAAGTGAATGTATCGGGATTTTTGTAAAGTTTTGTTTAAGGCAATGAGGCCAAGTTTGGCCTATTTATGTTCTATAAGCACTAAGGAAAGCATCAATAACCTACTTCATTCTCCACATAGTTATCAGAGTGATTTTCTTTTTTTTTTTTAAGATTTACTTATTTATTTACTTATTATTAATTTATTTTGAGAGAGAGAAAGAGAGAATGAGAGCACAAGCAGGAGGTGGGGCAGAGGGAGACGAGAGAGAGAATCCTAAGCAGACTCCACCGCTGAGCCCAGAGCTTGATGCGGGGCTCGATCCCAGGACCCTGAGATCATGACCTGAGCCAAAATTCAAGAGCTGGCCACTTAACCAACTAAGCCACCCAGCACCTCCCCCGGAGTGATTTGCTAAAATGAAAATCTGGTTATGTTATACCACAGCTTAATTCTATTTTGCCCACAGCATAAAGCCCAAACTTGCGTACGTACCATAGAACACCCTGCAGCATCTCTCCAACCTCGTCACCTACTCCTGCCCACGCTCCTCCCTCTGCCCTAAATGGCTTCTCCTCAATTGGCCCATCTTTAAAACTCTTCTCCATCTCAACTCTGATCCAGTGCCACTGCCCCTGTGATGGCTTCCCTGACCCTTAGGAGGAAGTCACTAACCCCACCTTCGTCCCTCTGAAGTGCCATACCCTATGTGTATAACAGCATCTATGGCACCAGATGGCACGGGCTTACTTGTGTGTGGTCCAGCCACAATGTGACCTTCCTAAGAGCAAAGACAGCATCCTACACCATCTAACACACTGGCTAACACTTTAGGGCTCTGTAAATGTTGCCGTGAACAGCTTTTAGCTAAAGTAAAATAGTATGTAGATAACTTTGTATTTTTAAAGAATGAAAGAATTAGAAAACAGGGCACAGTGGCTGGATATGATACTAGGTTTTCCAGCATTCAGCGGGCCTGAGCCCACTTCTTTTCATGCATATAAAACCAGCAGCTGCAATGCACAAAGGTATATGGACCCCTGACTGAGGGGTTGGGGACAGATGGGAAGAGGACAGGAAAATGTCCATCTATCCTGATTGCTAATTTGGAGATGATCCTTACATAGTCCCTTTCAAAGCAAATAGTTTATCTGTTTTTTTTTTCTGTATCACTTTATGTTCTTTAAATGTTGCATAAGCATGGATTAATCGGCAATGTGTGAGGCTGTAGGGGGAATATGAAGATGTGTAAGACACAGACCTTATCTTCATGCATTTACAAACTTCTTTATGTTCCACAGTTAATTTTAAGTTCTTAAAAAAAGAAGAAGAAGAAAGAAAAGACATTCTGAGGCTAGCTTACTTTCTTCTAAAAGATGGGATCTAAAATATTTAACTAGAAAGTACTTATTCACATGAAAGTCAATCCTCAAAATAAACTTCTGTTTATATATGGCTAGTTAAACAAACACTTCTTATAAAAGAAGAAGTATAACAAAAAATGATTAATTTGCAACAGCTCTAGAAAATATAATCATATTATCAAGTGTGGTTCAGAGAAAAACATGTGTTGGTCCAAAAATCCCAAAACACTGCATATACTAAGTGAATAAACAAGAAATCGTTCCTTAAAATCATGTTTATTATGTCCAGTGTTCATGTTCAACTAGAATAACAATTTGAAGTTAGTAGCAGATGAAAGACAGTTTATGATCAGAGAATTATAATTAAGAACCTGTTAAAATTAAGTATTAAATTTTATTTTCATTTTGCTCACAATCTCCAGGACAAGGGATATACCGTTCCTTCCCTCAAAAAAGAGCTTAGAAACATTTACATTTAACTGACATTCAGTCATATAATCTGGCAGATATTAGTTCAGTGCTATCCAACACTTATGAAAAGTCAGTAAAGCCATGTAGACTTCGCTGTAATCCAATAACCCAGTTTCCAGATGTTAAAAGCAAAAAGTTCAATGAACTTGGCCTTGGAAAAAATAATTTCAATAAAATAAACTTAAAGTCGAA